CCCCGTGGAAAGCAGAAGTGGTCCTCCCTCTCCCTACGTCTCTCTGAAACAAGCTTCTCCATTCCACTCGCCCTCGTGGGAGTTAACATTTACGGGAAGAGTGCAGGCACCCAGAAGGCCCAGACACCAAGAAGACATCATCGTCACATGACTTTTCTGGGCCAAAAAGTGGGCCCAGAAAAGTCATTAGCTTCCAACCAGATGTTGTACGGACAGACAGGGGAGGGAGAGTTGGGAAGGAGCTTTCTCTCAGCATGGATTAGGGTCAATAAAGAGTAGTGAGAAGGATTTTAGATGCTCACAGGAAGGTGGGAGTGCCAGCAGGCCCAGCAACATTTGATTGTGTCTGAAACATGAACTATAAAAAGGAAATGAGACAAACTAGAAGACCCTCTGAGCTACACGAATGAAGCCTTCTTCCCAGGGTTCTACAGCTCCAAAGAGCAGAGCCTAGAGCTTTAAAAAACACCCACTCAAATGGATTTTGTAAACGCTCCCCTTTTGTATAATTTTATGGAATATCATTTATACATTCTCAGCATTATGAAAACCGAACAGTGTTACAATGAGACGAACCAAAAAAAATCTCTTCCCTTAAATGGTCACCTCCTATCATGTCAATTTGTGGTTCGAAGCCTTTGTAAGATGTTGGCGAAAGAGTCGAAGAGGGGATCTAGAGAAGGGAGATTGGAAATATGCTGAAGGTTGTAAAACACCGTTAAATAATCAACACTTTGAAAGAAATCTATACAAATGAAAACTATAACTTGATTGTAAATATAACTTTCTAGAAATAGCCTTGTGGCAAATAAGGAACGTGGAGAGCTTATTCAGTACTAAGGGAAAGTGAAATGTAGGATAAGACTGAAGAAAAAGTCCAAGGATGTGGAACAAAGGCCATTACAGGCCCCCCATCCCCCCGCAACATCTCGGCACAGATGAACCTTTTTAACACATCATCCCAAGCAATTATTTAAACTTGCTATTCTAAATTATAAGAGGGCACTTCCAGCTAACTTAAGCCAAAGATATCTAGAAGAAGGTCCCAGTCTTTCAAATGGATTGTTCTAAAATTTCTAATTCTTCAACTGGCAGATTTCCATACTATTTTCTACACTTGGGCTTCTCCCCCAAATGGAAACTTACTCAAAATAAATTTTAGAAATGATGATGGAGTGATCTCAACATTTCACATTTTAAGTATCGGGAAACTAGACAGCTGTAAGAAATCTTTTACTATTTCTAACTGAAGAAAAGAAAAAAAACAGAACCAACTTCCTCTTCTATGTCTTCCTCTTCATTACCAATCTTAAAAGATGGAGGCAATGTCTAGTGCAGGTGCTCAGTAAATGGGAGGTGCTCATGGCAGATGCTCAGTAAATGGGGTGCATGTTTTAATGTGCATCCTATGGGCCCTGTCTCCTTACTTTCTATTTTCACCTTGGCCAATGCTGTCACTGATATAACAACTACTCACCGAGTTCATAGGTAAACACTTCTAGCAGAGACTGGAGGAAATCCCTTTGCAAAGTATTAAGTGAACACTTCTGTATTAACCAATAAGCACCTGACAGCCCCCAAGTCAGCAGAGCTGCTCTGACAGCAGCCCATACATGTGTCAGTTATCAGAGTTCCCTCCTCCCCAAGGAGGAAGCAGTATAGAAAGGCGAAGAAGCTCATCTCCCCAGTACAGTGCCCTAGTTGATGGTGCACCTACTCATTTCTTCTGAGTAGTTAGTCACTTAGTTCAGACAATTATCAAGTGATGGAAGAAAATTGCCTTGTGATTCTGTTTTTAAAAATGTGTATTAAATGATAAATTAATTTCTTTGCTTTTAAGTAATTGAGTACCTACTACAGGTCCAAAGGCTGAAAAGTGGGAGAAATTATAAAGTTGGAGCCAGAAAATATACCTACTCCGCCCAACAGTGCCACTTAACCAGGTCTGTGACCTTGGACATGCCACCAAACCTCTTTTTCTGTATCTGTCCCTGCCTACTCTGGGGGGCCATGAGAGTTTCAAATGAAATCAGAGCTTAGGAAGGATTCTGAGCCCTGGCTAAGCAAAAGGTATTAGCACCATCATTGCCAAGAAGAGCCCGGAAGATGTCTGATGTGTCCCATTGATCAAAGTCCCAAATGATGATTGTGGTGATCCTTTAAAGTTAATACTACCTATGCCTGAAGACACAGAGGTCATTGAGCAGCGTGAGTGAGTTGTAACAATGTTCCGTGTTATAGATGTGTACACACTGTACTCTTATTATACAGATTTAAAATTAGTATGGGCTTGTTTATGGATAGTATGGTTTATGGATAGTATAGTGTTAAATCACAACTCTATATATTCATTTGAACCAATTGGCATCTCAGATGTTTTGGTGATTTATTTCTGAATACAAATATAATGGAACTAAAAGGCTTTGAAAATCATTGATCTGCAAAATTGCTGGACTAAAAGAATGTAGAGAGGACATCACAAATTCTCCACATACCTCTGCTTCACCTATGACTAAGATAAAGCGGGTCTTTTGGATAGGGCAAACTACTTTTGCAGGCTACATCTTATACTCCAAATCAAGCCCCCTCTCCGGGTAATACAGCAGAGTAACCAGTTCTGAGTGGAGCTTTCCACTTAGAGCACTAGCTCTGGGTTACCTTGACAGTCCCAAAATCCCTCACATCCCCATTTCAGAAACCAGGACAGAAGGGCCAGTAGTTTCAAATGCCTTAGGAACCAGCCATGTTTCTTCTGCTTTGCATAGGGACAGACTTTCATTCCTTCTTCCAAGTAATCTCAACTATGTGACAGGCACAAGGCTAGTGTTCTGAACAAGACAGATGCAACTGTTGTCATGGAGCTTTCATTATAGTAGTGAAGACAGACTACATACAATGCAGACAAGTCATAATATAACTCAGGTTACTGCTATGCAGGAAATGTTAGCAAGTAACATATCCCAAATCACAGCTCTGGTAAATGGTGGAAGAGACCCAAACTCAGGTTTCTGGGCTCCCACGTTCTTTTCCCTTACACCGGAGCCCTCTACCCTTCACTCACCAACAGTGTTGCCCTACTCTGCATCCAGAGGCCCTGTCACAGAAAGTCTCTTGGGATCAAATTAAAGTTCTTCAAGCCTCATGACGTTCACCGCCGCCTGCAAGTGAAAACCAGGGACTACCTGAATCCCACCCTTTGCCAGTAGAGCTTACATTTCAGGAAGGACTTTGAGCACTTATTTAGGAAGCCACTGTACTCTTTCCGTGCCTCCCCTCCTGAACCCTACTGCTGGCTGGGGACAGCCAACAAATCAAAAGTAAGTCAAACATCCATACTGGCTAGTTCTTAGTGTGAGCCAGACTCCTGGGCCCTGCTGTGGGACAGCAAAACTCTGGTTTACTGTATTAAGCAGATTTACTAGTAAGGCCAGGTGGCTAAATGGGACAGGTAGTCTTAGGTTTAAAATTATCAAATTGCAAAGCACCCAGGAGCCTCACTTTTTATGGACAGAATTATTTTCAATAAATAATATACGGTACCATTCACGGAATACCTAGGACGTGCTTGAGAATTTACATGCAATAAAAAGCTCAGGAGGTAGATGGGTTCTCCCAAAGATGAGGAAGCTCAAACAGGGAATGTCCATCCTGGCTCAAGTTCACACTCAGGAAAGAAGTTGCACCCCCCTCCCCACCCCCCCAACCCCCATCACCACCACCACCCGTTCAACTCAGGTTTCTGAGATGGCAAAGATAGCAAAGTTAAGTGGGTTTGGGATTAGACACACACACACACACACACACACACACGACATGACCACAGGACCACGTCGGCTGTTAGAAAGCACATTACAAATGCACAGCATCCAGAACACACCACAGTTGGCCAAGATAACGCAGGACAGTGGGAACTGACGCTTACACCCTCCCCCAAGGCAACCCCTGAATTCTTAAAATAACTCTCGCTTCCTCTCGGCTGGCGGAGGCACGGGACTGCTGCGCTGCAGGCCAAGAGGCGCCGGGCTCAGCAGGACAGTGCGCACCAACCCTCGCCGCACCCCCTCGACGTCACGCTGCTGCCCCTGCTCCCAAAGAGGGCAGCTGCCCGCGAGTCTGGGAGAGGGCCCCACCCCTCCCTTCTGGGGACCCAGGGCCCGGCAAGAGCCCAGATTGTGTAACCCGAGGAGTCCGCGCCAGGGTCCCGGCCAGGAGCCCCGCGGCGCCCGCTCCGCGTGGAGGGGGCTTCCCCGCGGCGCTCGAGGACTGGCCAGGGCGGAGAGAGCATCCGGCCCTCGGGTCCGCGCCCGGAGGACTCCGCGGTGCTTCCCCGCCCCCCGCGCCTTCCCCTCCCACCACGCCCCTCCCCAGCTC